ACTCACGAACCGCGAGATCATGACCTGAGCTGAAGTCGGATGCTGAGCCACCCAGGTGCCCCTCAAGAGACAATCTTTATTGAATTAAAGCTTACGGCTTTGTTTCGATTTTTTCCCCTGTCTGAATCACAAAAATTGAGGTTCTCATAGAAATTTGAAAAATAAAGAGATAAAAATAAGATCCAAGCAACTCCAGCCTCAGAAAATAATCAGAATCTGGGGCGTCTGGGTGGCTCAGTTGGTTGAGTGACCTACTTGGGTTCAGGTTATGATCTCATGGTTTGTGAGTTCAAGCCCTGCATCCCGCTCTGTGCTGACAGCTTGGAGCCTGGAGCCTGCTTGGGATTCTGCGTCTCCGTCTCTCTCTGCCCCTCCCCTACTCATGCTCTGTCTCTCTCTGAAAAATAAATAAAGAGGAAAAAAATTTTTTAAAAAAGTACATTTATCATGATAAGTTTTGGGGATATATAGAATTGAATTACTATATTGTACACCTGAAATGAATATAACACTGTACGTTAATTATACTGGAATTAAAATAAAAAAGATAATCAGTATTACATTTTGATACCTTTCATTCCTTTTTCCTATCTTTCTTTTCCTTCTTCTTCCAGAGAGCCCATGGATCTATGTGCACTGGGTATGTGCATAAAGGCATGCTTATACATGGCTCTGTCTCAGTTGTATAGTCTATAATTATAAAGGTAGGATTATACTGTAACTTTCTGCTTGTTTAAGTTTTTTTTGTCTTTTTTTTTTTTTTTTTTTTTTTTAGAGAGAGAGAGCATGTGAGTGCAGGAGAGAGGCAGAGGGAGAGAAAGAGAAAATCTTAAGCAGGCTTCACACTCAGCAGAGTCCAACTTGGAGCTCAATCCCACGACTCTGGGATCATGATCTGAGCCAAAAAATACCTTTCTAAAGTATTTTTAAGGGCACCTGGGTAGCTTGGTTGGTTAAGTGTCCAACTTCAGCTCAGGTCACGATCTCACGGTTCATGGGTTCGAGCCCCACGTCAGGCTCTGTACTGACAGCTCAGAGCCTGGAGCCTGCTTCGGATTCTGTGCCTCCCTCTCAGCCCCTACCCCCCTCTCAAAAATAAACAAACATTTAAAAAATTAAAGTATTCTTAAATGGCCACTAAATGTTCTTCAAAAACATCCTCTATTAATTAGAATGGATGTGTATTCTGGCAGATGAAAATCCCATGAAGTTACTACTGTCTTATTGTTGGAAACTTAGGTTGTTTCTAGGTTTTTGCTCTCTGGTCGTGACCAATGTGGTGCCTAAATCTTGTTTAGAGCGTTTGATTTTCTTAGAACTAGCCCCTAGAAATAGCTGGGTCAGAGGATGTGGGAGTCTGAGAATTCACTATTCTGTTTTCCCGGGTCTCATGGGCTGGAGAAAGCACACAGATCCACAAGCTCCCCTTTAGATGCAGAGAGTTATGTTAAGTGTAGAGGTCGTAGAAGATACCCACTTCTGTCAGAAGAAGAAATCATTTCACTTAGCAAACATTGGTAGAACCTTTTATCAACGGACTGGGGTGAAACCTGAAGGCGTGTTTAGACTCAGACCTACACCAGGGCACATCTCATTGGTCCATATAACTCCCCCTTGGGAAGTGAGCCCGTTTCTGACTGCATTCCATTCTGCGATATCCCCTCATCTCTTAGCACATTCAGCTGAGGTGCCTTTGTACATGATTTATAATTTTGGTTATTTTTAATGTGTTAATGGAGAAGAGCGTGACTTCAGTATCTTTGGGGATGGACCCGATGCCTCCATTTTTTGACATAATTGTGAGCCGATTATTCTGTGCAAACGAGCCTTGCATATGATGGAGGCTAACTAACCAGTTAAAGTGGTCAAGGTTGGGTACACAAGTTCTGATGCTGAGAACAGGTTTTCCTGACTTCTTAATTATAATGGACCTATTGTGGCAAGTTGGCTTTTCCTCTGTTTATATTGACTGGGAAATTCCTTGAAAGCAAAAACATTTCTCCTGGGTTTACATGGGTGACTTAATCTCCCATTGCTCGTGGGAGACCCTGAGAAGAAAATGTTTTTTTACCCCATGTTTTGGAAAGTCTGACACCCATACTCCCTGAGTGGGCAAGCCTGCATAGAACACTTTTTCTGTGTCAGGCAGGCCCCTTCTGGGTGTTCAAGAGAGGCCCAGGCCTTGCCTTGAGGGGCTCACTCCATTGGGGGGGACAGTGAACACAGAGTGGGGCTCACTGCAGTGGGGGGACAGCGAACGCAGAGTGGGGCAGCTGCACGGCCTGATGTCTCAGGCTTTCATAGAAGGAAGCAGACGGTGACTGAGCACCAGGCCAAAAGGAATTTGAATCTGGACCCTCCTAATTCTTGGTTCTTCGCTTCTCTGATCCTCAGTGTCTGTCTGTGAAATGGGGACACTGGGGGTCTGAGGTTGTGATAAGATCTGGTGCCGGCTGCCCTTAGCACACGACAGCTGATGAGCCATCGTCACCTTTGTTACTATTACCTTCACCAGAGCTCGGCTGCTGCAGGTGGGGAAGGTGGGGGGTTCCGCTGGCAGAAGTAGTTATGACTCAAAATCAACAGAAATTGCTGACTAATTTGGGTAGGGCTAGCACCAGAGACGAAGGAGAACCAACGAGTGTGAGCGTCGCGATTGTCATCTGTCTCCAGTACCGAGCACCTGCTGCTGTGGTCGACCTTCCCAGGC